GCAGCTATGATGCGCATCGAAAACAAATTTTTTTAACCAAGCAGTACAAAAGCAATACCCGGTACTATCAATGCAGATATGATAATGATATCTGTCTATTCTCTGGGAAATGGGCACCGATGACAAGTTTAGTGCTGGTTATTTCTTTATCAGGCGGACTTCTGTTTCGAAAATCAATTGAAGAAGAGCCCGGATAATAGGTTGGATGAGGAATCGAAGGGGATGTGGGGTGGATGTTACTTCGATGCAAACAACAATGCAAAGCTGATGCAAGTCTACATGATTATAAGCGGCAAGGATCAAACTGTCACTGGCTCTGGCGTAGATGTACATGGTGCGTTTACCATTGATGGACATGTCTCGGATGAGTCGATCGGCTTTACCCAGAATTACGGCAAACGGGAAGCGGCGTTATAACGGACGCAAGAAAGAAGGCGCGATATATGGAACTTGGGGCACTAAAATTGCCCTGTGATGATACGTTTGTAATATTTTTGAATTAGAATTGGCGATAAAATGGGTTTATCTTAATGTAGTCATTCCGTCTATTATATGACATATGTATTATTTATTATAAATAAATCATCGTTTGAGTGACTGATTGCATATTAATGACAATCCTGCAAATTCTCTCTCGACAGATAAAAAGCGTTGCCTCAGTTGTGATGCTTTTCCCCCAGAATTATTAATTAAGGAACGCGTTATAATAAAACTAACTAATTAACATACTTCGAATCCATAGACGCATGTTAATGCTAATCATATTGATAAGACATTGTTGTAGACGTCGACAATGGTGCATGTATTAACTAGTTTATAAGATATCACAGTGAACATTCCATAATAATAAATGCAAACCTTCGGACCGAGTATTTATGGAGGTTTCCTTAATAGAAAAGGATTTTTTATTATAATTTTCAGTCAGCTTTCCATAAAAGTTTGACAATAATATTATCAGTTGTGTTATACTACTTTGTTTAGTAAAAATTTTCTTTTCTTTAGCAAATTAATTTCTCCGAACTATAAATAGCTTTTAAATAGTTGTCTTTGTAATGTCTTGGTTTCTAAACTTTTAGTACTGTATAGTAGATTTAAAAATCTCACGAAAAATCTGCAATTACGCAAAAGCTGTACATCATACTCCGTTTATAAAATTTGACTTTCCATTGACTCGCCTAAACGACGAATTATATCAAACTCATTAACCAAGTATTTTTTTTAATCTTGTCGGTTTTGTCTTGAATAATGCTTTTTTTTCTCTGATTAAAATTGCAGAGCTAGCCATAGGATAACAAAAAGAATTTAAGATTAGATAACATCAGCGTTATAAAAAAGAGGAATTGACGACAGATCAATAAGTAACTGTATGAACAAATTTTATAAAAGTTGAGCAGAAAATGCTCTCTTGTAAGACATCTTTTGAAAAAAAATGAAGCACTATATTAAATGTGCATGACAGTGTTCGTTACTTGCAATAGGTTGAAGTAAGCATCATGTCAGTATATAACACGATTGACATATTGTAAATTTACCAAGGAATAAGATTATTATATAATTTAATAGGGTATTGAAACTCGAACTCTGTGATATTTTTATATTGAGTTGTAATAGAAAAATTCAAGCTGAGATATATCCGAGTAGGTTACAGTAAGGAAGATTAGATGTAACGATTATTCATCCCAAATGTGTGATTATCGTGAGTAAATATAAACGCAAAAGATACAGAAACAAATGTGCTTAATAATACCCCTCGCTCCGAAAAAGAAAAAATAAAAACTATTAACCTGCCGTTTAATTATTTTTGCATCGATGAAAATATAGATTTATAATTTAGCTAAACTATTGAAAGCAAAGAGGCTTGAAAAAAACAACAGAAAATTTTGACAAAACAAGTATGAGAATGACGGACGTGATAGATCGGATAACTGATAATTGTGAGTCCACTCAGAAAAAGTTGCCATTCATTCGGATTGCTAATTGTAGTTTGATTGCATGATACACAGAATCATCATATTCATACACGTATATGAATAGACTGCTAACTAAATTTGAAACTTGTTAGGAATAATGACGTTCTTATGTTTGGGTTAATATTAATTAGTATTACTTTCAAAATACTAGAAGGATTAATGATGCAATTCAATGTAATGTGAATACGTATAAAAATAATTCGAGTTCATTGTTAGTTTCTTCAAGGCATTGCATTGTAATCTTTAAAAATTTAGCTCACAAAGCCACAATTTTTATTTATGAATTCAGGTCCCATTAATCGGTAAATAGGACAAAACATTGCAAGTCACTATAAAAACCTACTAACACAAACCTTCAGCTTTCTGATACATAAAAAACAACGACTATCGGCTCAGCCAACTCTCGTAGATTAAAAAACTTGTTCATACGCTGGATGCAAGGATACTTTGACCATAAAGTTTTTCTCAAATACCAGCAACCGTTATAGGAAGTTTCGGTCTTTCACTGCTTGCCTAAGTTTAACGACAATATGGACGCCTTTCACATAAAAAATAAATCTCTAGAAACCTTCTGTCGTTTTTGTTATCCTCCTTGCTGCAGCACTAGCTGATGCATGCTGCCACCTTTGGCTTTTTTTTGTTCTCGCATTCTATTAACTGAATTTTGTTATGTTCACTGACAAGAAATATCGCAAGCCTTTAATATTAAGCCATGGGTTTCTAATTTCGCGTTAGTCGTACTAGATGTAACTATGGTACGATTATTGAATACACCAATCAGATTTTCGAGGTTTCTGACGATACCAAATTTCTAGGGAAACAAACAAGATTTTTTATTTGTTAATCACTTTATATGGGTTAGCAGCTTTTCTGTTACATTTCTCAGATGACGATTATCTCCTTGTCGATCTGATTTGTAGAATGTCTGCGCACTTTACTACACTTGTGTAATATTCATCAATGAATGAATTGGCGCGCTGAGTGGCAATGAAAAACTTGTTAATGCTTGTTATTAACCTATTTTGGTGACCTCAAAAATAACACATTCCAAAAAGAATGGTAACCGTTGTTGGGTTTCAACCACGAAAGACACGGCATGGATATCCAAGGAAACTCGTGTTTCCAACTGCCTCCACCAAATGCAGAAAGAGATATAACAGTTCAATTGCTTCAAAACACCAGTTGTTGAAACGTGGTGTAATATCAAATTCAGCACACTGCCTTCTTGTTTACAAAAGAGACAGTTTTCGCTCCAGGATCAACTCCAAGCCCTTCTCCTTTTGGTTTACAATCTCTTAACAAGCTTGTGACAGCATTTATCAGAAAAAATGGCTCCAGCATATGAAGTCCTCAAAGCTAAATGGAAAAAGCGACAAGACACAGAGACCGTCGTTTTTGGAGCCACGCGTGACGGAGTCGTCACGAAACTTAAACAGTTGGTTCAAACCGTACGTTTACTTTTCTCTCTTTTCTTTTATCAGTTTCACTTTTATTTCAACTTCTCAAACAACCCAGTAATGAATAACATGTATGCGGAATTTTATTAGAAAGTTTCTGCGCTAAAGGGAGGCTTGTTTACAGACGAGGAATGGGATATTAGCAAGTATCCCTTGGCTACGCTTTACCAAAATAACAGGAGCCCCACGCAAGATCCAAATAGTCCGTACCGTTATAATAAAATCCAACGTCTTAGTGTCATTGACCCGCAATCGAAATTCTACGTCAACGGAACTGCGCCGGGTGATGTCGCGCAAGGTCGGTTGAGCCATACACGTGTTTTTCCATGTTGCGCATAACTTATTCTCAACGACATTATTATCAAAAAAAGGTGGGGTTGGCGATTGCTGGTTCCTCGCGGTTCTTGCTGCCGCCGCTGATGTGCCCGGTCTTGTTCAATCCATTGCTGTCGAAGTTAATGAACAAGCCAAGGTATAGGATTGGAAATTTCCCATCTTGGTTAATAATGTGGGTATTATTATTATTTACTAATAAATCAAATTTTTACATAGATCTATGGTTTTGTATTCTACAAAAGTGGTTGGGCTGCCACCATAGTTGATGATTACATGTTTTTCTATAGCAATTCGAACTTGGTGTTTAGGTAACTCGAATTAAAACTTGCCGCATATAATTAAAATTGCATTTGGTACATAATTCTCAGCGATCGATTATATTCTTGTAGCAAGGCCGAGCAAAATGAAACCTGGGCCCCGCTTCTTGAAAGTGAGTTTGCATCTTCTTCCATCACTTTTTTACTAAGCCAATTCAAATAGTCTAATTTCAATAAAATTTTTTCGCAGAGGCGTTTGCCAAAATCAACGGTGACTACGAGAGTATTGACGGTGCACCCAATTCGCAAAGAGGTATTCATAACAACTTTCTTCTCGAAATGCAAATTAAACGTAACAAAAATAATCATCTCATGACTTGTCTTTTTAGCACTTGTGAGTCTTGGAGGCATAAAATATAAGGATTACCAGCTCGCCCAAGTGAAAAAAGATTCCGCAAAGAAAAACGAACTTTGGAATGCATTGCTTGCCACCAAGAATCCCCGTGATACTATATTTGCCTGCGGTCGCGATGAACATCATCCTGTAAGGCCAAATGGTCATGGTGAAGATATTATGGGCTTGGTCCCTGGTCATGTGTATAGTTTTCTTCGCGCTGTTAATTTTCATGGTAATCAATTGATCGAGATCCGTAATCCATGGGCCGAGACTGAATGGAATGGTAAGCATAATTGCTCGCTGCGGCACTTTCTGTGAATTGTTCTAATGACTTTGTAACGTCAATTTCGCTTTGTAGGTCCGTGGTCAGACACTAGCAATGAATGGGCACCTTATAAGAAGGACAAGACGATACCAGAATTGAAGTATTCTCTCGCTAATGATGGTTCTTTCTTTATGCCATTTGACAGTTTTTTGAACGAATTCGATGAGGTGGAGAGTTGTGAATACCCATTGGCAGCCGGTAAGTGTTATTGAAGGACGACTTGGTAAGGTTTGCTTAATAGGACTTGAAACTGATTAAATGGAGTTGCTTTTTTATATGTAGCCAAACATTTCAACAGATCTGCCACTATTTCAACAGAGAGTCTGGTGACATCTTGGTGGTATGGCGACTATGATATTTACTACACCGATAGAGTAAACCAGTCAAACTTGTCGGGTGTAAAATTGTTCTTTGAGAGTACGAGCCCTGACGGACCGCTTAACGTCGTCGGCGAGGGAAGCGATGATATTGGGCCTTATTCCATTCAGGGTACTTATGATAATATATCGAAAGCTATTGCCTTTACCAAGCAGCACATCAATGTCGATGCCAATACGGCCTGGCGCTACCAAGGCATTTATAGCGGCGTTCTGTTCTCGGGGACATGGGGTACTGAGGGCAAGCCAAATATGGGTAATTTCTTGATTAAGCAGAAGTCTGTTATTAAAAGACAATCTGATGAGGGACCTTGGCAAGGATATTACTTTGATGTAGATAACAAAGATGTCATTATGCTAATCTACATGACCGCAAGGAAAGATCCAAGCGGCGTCGAATTTCTCCATGGCTCTGGTACAGATGAAGTTGAGTTTACCATTGATGGACAAGTCGCAGTTGACAATTCGGTCAGCTTAACCAAGAGATATGAGGGTAATACGGTGAAATATAACGGATGGAAGAGTGGAAACGCGATATTTGGAACTTGGGGCGCCGGAGTGCCCAGTGATGGTGATTTTGTGCTTTGGAAATATTAGTGTGTTTATTCCCTCTAAGTTACCTATGTACTGTATATGTATATGTATATTTATAGTATGATTATTTATTATAAATAAACATATTTTTAAATGACTGATAAATGTTTTCAAACACGTCTTTTTATTAAAAAAGCGTCCAAACGTGACGTTGGTAACTAGTGTACAATCCGAATATTTACTCTTAATAGATAAGAAATGCTGCCTCTTTTTCCTGTAACAATACTTTGTATATAATGAAGTTACGTTAGCATGTTTTGTGCATTTTTATGGATAATAGTTGACCAAACATCTCACGACAATGTGCGAAACCTATGCAACGACTATGCGTTATTACTGTTGCGGTTTAATTTTTCAAAACTAGTCATAGTCAAGATGTTAAACTATAAATTATTGGCAAATGATATCGAAATGAATGGTGGTATGCTTCATTTGCAAGGTTACGACGTATGTATTGTATCGTATGATTTGAATGTATGATTGACATAATACTAGTTATACGTTAAATAATTATGTACTGTTCATATCTGTTCTGTATAATAATATTTTTTCTTTGCTCCAAAGAGGAAATGAAAACGGTTAACTTGCTCTATATTTTCGCGTATCAATTCATCGTATCGAGAAGGTTTATATTGGAATTCTACTTCATTGTTTATCAATATTGAAAACGAAGCGACCTGTAAAGTCCGAAAAAAATAATACTGTATAACAGGAAAGGAAAGAATGATGTGTAAATATTAAGGCGATAAAAAAGAGTATAATTTAGTAGAATGACGCACGCGATAAGTACGAATTGTTGCTCATGGCATACCAAAAACGAACAAAGACTACAATCCAGTGGGTAACCGCGTAAATATTACATTGCGATTTGAACACAAACAGTAAACCTGAAATTTGACCATAACGAACTTTTGACGTCCCGAACTTTTTATCTAATGGATATTACTATCAAGAGAAATTTTTATCCACAACTAACGCCTAGTTTTAATCTCATGGAAGTAATTATTTAATTAAGAAAACCTGGTTACCTGTCCCGTTTACAACAACGAAGTTAATTCATAGATAATAAAAGATTGCTTTCAACTTCAAATAGAGAAAACAATTGAGATTTGTCACTCTGTTATAAATTCCCAGCTTTGTGGGTGACTCGATCTCTGGCATACGAGTTTGACCAACAGATCGTAAATAATATATCGGATTGTCTACTTTGGCGACAATTTTTCGCGATCTTTCTTCTAACTATTCTTTTTTTCACAAGTCATTGATTGACTCGTAAACCTTTGGTAAAACGAAAACGAAGGGCAACGGGAACACTTTATTAACGTTGGGAATGTAATGCATATTGACTAATAACGTCTAGGACATGTACAAAAGAATGTTGAAACCTTTCAAAAAGAGACTACTACATGTCGCAAATAATAGCACAAAGGACGATAAAAATTTCTAGGGATGTTTACAAGTTTAAATTCTTTCGTAGATACACGTAATTGGAATAATAAGTATAGAGTTACCGCCAATCAAAGAGAACGCAGCAAAAATTGATGGAAAGATACCGGAAAAGATATAATTATTATTCTTGTCGACTTAAGGAAATGGTTCTACTCGGTTTGAATGCAATTTTCGTTTACCGAATTGCGTTAAACGAATTTTCGATGATGCTACAGAATTCATTGATAGTAGAACGATTGATACAGATAGTATTTGAACAACATCCGATCAACTCGATATACTAACCGACCTTCGTTGGTCTTGTTCGTCTTGATCATCCTTAGAGCTAACTGCCATAAAACAAACAAACGCAACAACATCTCTTTTGCGTTATTCAAGTCACTGTAATTATACCTCTGTAAAAAGCCTTGGCGATTTAACAAAATTAAATATAATTACTCGAAGAGATATTGTCCCTTATTTGAAGCGTTCATTGGTGGGGACGTTCCTTCGCTATACATGATTTTCTTTCCCAAGTCAAATTTTCCGAGCAAGTAGAATACGACGCTTTACAACACCTGTTTACAAAATGCTGAAATTAACGGATTGACCTTCAACAAAAGAAGGATTAATGATATGTCAATAGAAAAATCAAAAAATGCGTTCTTATACGATGCGTCTTTATTACAACATAAACGTGTGTAATGACAATTATGTATTTGATTTGGATTTGATGCGTGCAGTCTTCCCTATTCTTGTTGTCTATGCAAAACATAGACGTTTCTATCCACTCGAACAAAAGTCAATTTCGATTCTACACAGAGATATCTGTAAAGTTAACGAAGTAACTGAAGGCAAATGCTAAATTATGTTTAACCTCTATTACAGTATTATAAACGCTGTGCATCAAAGAAGAAAACAGGCAAGCGCTCCAAATACGTCTTTTTAAAATTATCGACTTAAAGTTGTTCTTCATAATGACTCGAACAGTGTTCCACGATTCCATAATCATGATGCGTACGCGTGATATATAATTTAATAAAAAACGCTCGCTTTCGCGTTAATAATATATTGCATATCTTCTATCAGGATGACAATATTGTTTGTCATCAATCATTTTTACACCAGTCGGAAAAGTTTCAACTTTCAAGTTACGTTCCATTTCGTCTAACTTTTCCTCCAAATATAAACAAACCCAATAAAGACGTACGCCTGACTAAAATAATGTTAGTGTTAGAAACAATTGAATACGTTTCACATAGTAATGAACAAATAAACCATACTTACATTAGCAACAATGTCTATAATAATGTTATCTTCAGACAAAACGTTAACCGCGCATGGTAAAATGTATTCAGTCGCATAGTTGGTATCTTTAATGTCCGTTTTATATTTATATTGTATTTCTTCGGTTGACGTTTTTATCTACAAAGCAAATGTTTATATTTATTATACAATAAAAAACTATAAACACCAATATTATCTTGAATACTTACTACAATTGTTATTGACTTATTATTATCCCAATTCAACAACAAAATGCCGAGTTTGTATTTATTTGGAGGTACTTTGAATATTGGTATTGTTACCTAATATATAATTGTTTATTAGTTAATATTCACAACGTATACAAACGTTGATAAATAATAATGATTATACACTTACTTTATTAGGTCCATAAAGGCGCAAACAATCAGAATAACTATTGAAATAACGTATGTTAGTAGTGATACAGCATAACAAAATAGTTATTGTAAATTATTTACATGTTACATTCACTCTTATCATCAATTACAACATGACTTTCATATGCGAAATGTGCTGTCAAATGACCTAATAATAATAGTAATTAGTATGCATAATAATATATAATTATGTAATCATTCATTGCCAACCCCTTACTTTTGTGCATGTAATAAACTTTTTCAAAAAACGCGTTTGTATAATAATAATTACGCGTATAGCCAGTATTGTTATGCTCCTTATGCCAATTTGCAGCAGTATTGTACCATCTGGTGTAATCATTATCATCTGTTCCATACTGATGGTGACACAGTAATTGCCATTGATTGATATCATCTAATGTATACATTGCTCTGTAACAACAACTATCCACAAGAATTTTAAACCATTCCACATCCCAGTTCTCAAGTTTGTTTACATATTCATGAATAACATCAAATGCCATTGACTGCGTCTTTGGATGCTTAATGTGCTCAATATCTTGTTCAACACCTTTCTTATTCCCCAAACCTAAATGTGCCATTAAACTTAAATACCAAGCATCATCATAAATCTTGTTTACTTCTATTGCTGTCTCAATATCAAACAGAGCTTTTCCAAAAATTTTCACTTTTATCTTTATCATTGCCCTATTACACAGTGCTTGATAACTTTTGGATTCAGCTTGTAATATTTGTGTATAAATGTTCAAAGCCTCATCCAAGTCCCCATTTTTATATGCAATTTTAGCCTTTTGAAGTAACTTGTTTATATTTGGTGCTGTTAATGATTTCCAAATTGAACTCCATGTGGA